TTAAAATTATCTTTCAAATCGGTAAAGTGAAAGATATATACTATGCTCATGCTTGCATAAAATATTTTAATTGCAGGAATTTATTTAAATCTATTGAATTCTTACTGAATATGTCTTATTTGAATAAAAGAAGAAAAAAACTATGTATGGGTACCTTAGTTTCGTATTACAGATCGATTATTTTTGGTGTTTTTTTTTATAAATGACACTATATATTCATATTGTGATCACCTATACTGTAGTGTATAGAGTTTTAAACACAACATATTCATTTTGTGTGGAGTCAAAACATGTTTATTTTATATTTACAAAGGGTCTGTAGCGATTATCAATATTTTCTAATATAAAATTTGGTCATAGTTTATCATTAAAATATTTAGATGATTATACCATATTTTCTCTAAACGTTTTTTTCAGAGACTACAACTACGGAACACTTCATACCAGGATACAAAAGTACTCATTTTCTTAACACAATTTCTTGTCGTTTCTATCTGTTAAAATCTTGATATAAATATAAATCCAAATTTATCAAAAATTTACTGTTTCACATAATAATAAAGGACTTTATAGCCTATTTCAAATAAAATTATACTATTTTGATATAATTCTATGAAGAAGAAAAAAGAAAGAAAATTCCTTGTTTGTTGAATGTTCTTACTTCGACACTGTGTTTAAGAAGTCCTTATGTTCTTTTACAGATACTACAACAGAACACTTCATCCCAGGTTTGATTCTAATCAGTTACTAACCTGCTAAATTTCTTAAATGGACTTGTTTAAATTCCATTTTTGGAACTGTCCATTATCAATTTTAGGGATCTCAAGGTAAACATTAAAATTAGCCGGTCAACAGTGTAGAGCTAGGATTAACAAGCTAGTCTGGTTCTACACAAACTCCTCACAGTGATTACCTCCCTTGGCAGAATGGTAATCACTGCCTTCAAAGACGTCACATGATGATGAAAGTCACATGACGTAACGTCGAAATTCAAATGTAAATATCGACCGTTACAAAGAAAATCTAACGTTATTTTTTCACTTTCTGTTTTATTTTTTAACTTTTAGTGCCTACGTTCGATATAGTTTTATCAAAAAATTATCGAAAGTATACAAAAAACGAAAAATAAAGTCAAAAGCTAAAAAATATAAAATATCGAAATATATCGTCTCGGTAGAAAATAATCTCATAATTTTTAAAATTATTTCTAAATATTCATATTATTTATTTATTTATTCATAAACATTGTTAAATAAATGAGAGAAAACTTATCTGATAGAATAAAGCAGTAGATAAAACAATTTTTGAAAAAATATTAGAAATTCTGATATATCGGGACCTTGGTGGCAGAGATCTAAGCCGAAGAATTAAAGGGAGATCACTGTGTGGAGATTGGGTTCTACACTGCTGACAAAGGTAAAACCTTTTCGGTTTCAACATGTGGCGGATTTTGAAAAAATTTCCCCGGCATAATAAATTTCCAAAGAAAATACTTTTTTGCAGTCCGCCCTTTTACCCAAAATTTGAGTATGGGCCCTCCTAATTTTTCCTCCGGGTATGAAGAGTATTTTAAATAAGCAAATTTCTGTAAAAAGGCTTCCCATTTCAAACCCCAAAAATTTGATCAAATTTTTTCTTCTTTAAAACCCTTTTTTTTATGTTTTTTTCAAAATGCTTTTTGAAAATTAAAATGTTTAAAATTTTTATTTATATAATCAAAAATAGGATTTATTGGGTAAAAAATGCTCAATCAAAAAAGCAAATATTGGTACCGATATTTTTTAAAATTAATAAAATCAAAAAATACACGATAAATTTAAAATAATTTACCAAAAATCAAAAATACTTTTGGAAAAAAAACAAAAGGGAAAAAGGGAAAAAAAGCCCTTTATTTTGGTAATTTTTAGGGATTTTTTTTGAAATAGGCTTAGTAAGAAAATGGTAAAACACGTATTTAAAATGGATTGGGTAGTGTAACTTTTTATACATATTTCATTAATTCTTGGTAGAAACAATTTGTTTCTTAAGTATGATTAATGGCGAAAAACATTTTTCATAAGGATGATATTCTACATTATTTTAATGTTCATCAATTCTGAAAAGGGGTCCTTTTAACATCCAAGGTCAAGTTCAGAAAAGTGGGCATAACTCGTTTACCGTACGGTCAAGTTTGTTTGATTTTTGCATGCAGGTGATTTAAAGGTATATATCTGACAGACGTTGTCAATTTTCTAATACCTTTTAGTGCTTGTTAGGATGGTCATAACTTTAAAGATCCTGTATGTTATCATTACGGTTGTTACCACACTTAAGTGAAATTTTATATATATTTAATCTTTATTAATTTAAAGTATCATCCATACATAACAATTACAACATTTCAATTACAAATTGTAAAACATAAAATCATAAAATTGCTTGTATGGTCATTCTGATAAGAATTATAAGAGACGAATAGTTTCAGTACATAGTTACAAGGGAGACAACTCCTCAGTCCATATTGCAAATATTTCCAATATGTACTGAAGAGCTATCTCCCTTTTCAGGCGTATTTAACTTATAACAAGAAACCACTACTATCTACAATGCCCACAACAATTTTGGAGAGAAAAAAACAACAAAAAAATTACATCCTAGCATTTTTTTAGTTTAAACCCCCCAAAAACAACATTTTTTTAGTTTTAACCAAATGTCAAAAAAGGAGATAATTCTGGAACTGATTAGCAGCTGTTTCCAAACATTTAATGGATAACTCATAAGTTTATTTCTATATGAAATCTTATCAAAATATACCCGACATTGACAAATATTAATATACACACTCAAATCGGTGCATTGTCCATCTGAATAAATCCAAATCTAACTATATGTATATGAGATTTACTTGAAAATACCACTTTGTTGTATACATTACCTAAATATCAACGGTTAAAAGCTAAAATACCCATGCTAATCTGTTAATAAAATCTACATAAAAGTCTTATTAAACCTTGACAACTCAATACTACGACAAAATGTCCTATTATCTGAAAAATTGTTTAAATTTGGGTCTAACTTTAATCAGAGTAAACTAAAATTAATAAACAAAAGGTACTGCCATAAAAGTTAGTTTACTTAAACATAAAAATGTTATTGTAAGTATATGTATATATGTATATAATTATGCTTCTAAAACAATTCTCAAATATCGAAGAATATGTAAACATTTTAATGCAAATATTTGTCAACATTATATGTAATCATTTACATAATTGAATTCATTTCTTATTGAAAAAATTGACTCAGACTTTATAGAAAATGTATTTCTAATTACCTCACTTTATAAACATGAAATGTAAATTCGGTAATATCTTTACAAATAATGCTTTTTGGAACTTAAAAAATAGTGATAAATCTTCATTTGAACATTATATTTATGATATAAAACCATAAAAAATTGAGTAACAGGATCTTTAATATAAAGATTTTCAGTCATAAGAGGACAGTCAAAGTAAAATAATAAAAAATTACCATTATAAAAGAGACAAAAATGAAAACCGTATATTCCATTTAATATAACACTTATGTGTCATTACATGAAAAGACACGTACCTTTCTTGATATAAATGCATAAATATGCTAATCATAAATTCTGTTTGACGTTTTTCTTTTGTAAATGGTCGATCCATGAAGTTAATGACATTAACTAATAACTGTAATTTACAATAAAAAAAAAACATGACGACCCAAACAAATAAAAACGGACCTATATGTTCAAATTTTGTCAAAGATTATCAATCCTGTACCTATTTGTCTTTGTGACTGGAAAGTGTTGTACAGTGAAACAAAATATGTTATTACATATAAAACGAACATGCGTCTAGGCAGGAAAAAAACGTGTGTTGATTCACTTTCTCCAAATCAATAAATTCAAAAAATTTAATCATAATATAAAATACGAATAGACGCTGACAATATACATGCATGATCCGTTCATTATAATGTCACTGTTTTCCCATAGCATTATTGTGACAGAAATCATACATGAATGCACTGTCTCATTTTGAGTGTGCATGCTGACAAAAGCAGAATGTGTTTCTGTATTTTAAATGATTACTTATTATGTAGGGATTGTCTACCACTGCGCGTGTTTTGAATTGATCCTTCCTATGTACTTTCGTTACCCTGTACATTTATTTGTTTCCCTTCATATATTTTATGTAGATTGTATTTAAAGGAATTGGAGTTTCTATAGGATAGTTCGTTTCAATTATACAAGGGTTGAATTAGGAAAATGATCGAATAAGTAGAATAGCCTCATTGCTTGTTAAGGATTGCTTAAGAACTTAAGAAAAAAACTGAAACCGAGAGAGAATGAAAAAGTTAAAAAATCTAATAAACGTGCAAACTACGCAAAAAAAATCAAAAAAAAAAAAGAAAAAAAATCGGCAAAATAAAAAAAATTGCGGGGTCTGTTCCTTGATGAAAGTGATAGATGCAAGCTAAGTCAACGCTTCCTATCACCGGCTTAAGTGAAATTCAACATTTAAACATGAAGATGATATAATAATGTACAAAACAACATCCGCAGATGTGTTCATACGGCAGTTGTTCTGGAGTCTTTAATCGCGTATTCCCAAAGTAAAAACATGTATGTGCATTCTAGAAAACAATTAATTAAATAAAATGGAATTTTGAAAGGGGGAGAAGACTTTATGTCACGGAAAATCCGTCAAAAGAAAGAAATCAGGCAAAATATCGTGAGGGTGATTATACATGTATACAGTATTCAAGATTGATACGTAAGCCTCACACCAAGAAAGCGAACAAATTTAACCAGATTAAATGATTGCAAACACAAAAGTAAATTCGTTTTCATCGACCTTCAAGAATAAAACATATCTGATCGGCTGATTGGATATACAGGGCAAAATTGTAGAGTCTTCGCAGGCATAAACACCGCTACTGTGATAATAAAATAAAATATAGATAGGATTGTGTACAAATAAAAGACGATGTAGGCCACAAGTTAAGTTCCATATGTGGAAACTTTAATAAAGGCATCTTTCACTTTTATTGTGTCACGAATGTTACTTTTTGATATGAAATGTTTAATATTGCTCTGTGAAAGATTCATACGCTCGTATATTTTGTTTATTTTTTGTTATTAAACTTACACTCGTAAAGCAATTTTGCGGATTAAATGAAACATTCTAATAACGACCGAAATTACATTTTCTCATTCTGTTTTAAATTCTAGTTGGATTTTACATTATGCAATATATAATCATTAACCGCATTTAATACGAAAATGGATAAATGAAAAATATCAGTCGGATTTGAAAAAGAACTTTCAAAATATAAGTTTTTGTAAAAAGACATAAAAAAGTTTCAAGTAACTAGTATAACCGCCTTTGAAAAAATCACTAATCCTAGCGATAGAACAACGCACAGTTAACTTTTCAGTCAATTCGAGAAAACCGTGTGCAATCCTTAGTTTAACTTAAGGAGAATTATCTAAGTCTTTATCCACAAATTTGCTTAACACCTCAGCTACATTGTCTGCATCAGGTAGAGCATATGATTCATCACCTGTCGGAAAGAACGATTCTTTTATTTTATTTAATTCATTTTCTATATCCCAGTCAAAATGATTGGTTTCCTCTTTTTTGTTCTCTTTTTCCTTAATTTTCGTTGTGTCTTGTCCGTTCCCTGCTTTGTTGTCTAGTTCTTTTTTATCATTTTCTATAGTTGCTGTTCCCGGATAAAATTCATCTTGAATAGATGTGTTGTTTTTCCCGATTCCATTTATGTTCTGCTCAGAATCAACCGAATGATCGGAAGGGTTTTGTTTAATAGTGGCTTTTATGTTTACGTGTTTTTCCGATTCTTTCATGTCGGGGCATACTCTTACAGAAGGATCATTTTTATCATTAACTTGGAAATTCTGCTCGGTAGCCTTTTCTTTTGCATCTATATTGCGCACATTTCTATCGTCTTTATTCTGAAATGTACATGTGTCTGGAGTAAGAGTAAGTATTTTCTTGAACTCCGAATAGTACTCATCTTAATAAAAACAAAAAGATTTTAGCATATCATTTGTTATGTTTTATCAGGGAAGTTAATAAGTGTAAGACATAACATCTGTGTCCGTTAACTTCTAACTGGTCTTCATAATTAATGAATTATTGCATATTAAAAGAAAATTATAATAAGTAGTCAGTGCATATTATTAAATCAGATTAAACATTTATAAAAAGTAATAAACATAATATCCCAACGTATGTGCAATTCTATTTTGTAGGAGTAGTATTGGTATTAGTGAGCAAAGTAATCAGAGAATAAATTATTTAAAAGTATATAGACATGAATGAATACTTCAAGGATACATACTTTCATTTGTGAATTCCTATTGAATTTTATGAATAAAAACCTTTCTGAAGCGGTACTATCATAGTCAATATTTTTGGCCTTCAGATATGTCAGGAGTTTTGGTCGTACGATATTTCCGTAAACAGCTAAATCCTCGTATACTTCTTTTCCAATAAAAAGATTTGTTTTTCCACTCTTCAGAAGAAAGAAGGTATCTTTTTCTTTTGTATTGATTTCTTGAGCTTTACAGAATTCTTCGTGTGTAATTGATAATACCGTTTCTTTGCCAACATGACAATCGTTCGAAATAAGGTCGAGAACAAAATTCATGAACATGTCATTGTCATTTTGACGAATTGGCATGGAATCTAAAAGCAAATTAAGTCTTGCATTTTCAATGATATACTCTTCAGTTGTACTTCGTTTATGTTGCTGTGGTTTTTGATTGACCTTTCTTTCGTTTTTTAATTCGTTCTCGTTTGACATTATCTTTAGTATCAACACTGGTTTTGTTTAACTGAACTGATGTTTCTTGAAGATTTGATACTTCGTTTGTAGTATACCTAGAACAGTACGAGCAATGGCCCACTTGTAACCTATGTGTTTGTCTTGATCTGACATATATTTCTCTCGCGTAATTAGTAGAATTGCCTGGTATTTCATCATCATGCAAGGCCATATACTGTTGAGAAAGTGCAGAGTTGTTCCTAAATGTTAGGTCTAAATAAGGAGGGACTAAAGGCATTGGCGTTGTACTTTTCATTGGTGGGTTCCTTGAAAGGAAATATATAGAAAACAATAAATGTACATTTAAAACTTCACTTAACTTTTCGTTATGAATATAAAATCTGACTATAGTCTGTCCCATCAAATTTGAATATTCTATTTTTTATTTAATACAATTGTAAAATCATTTAAACTAATGTCATGTTAACCCTGACGTCAATATCTCTAGGCATGTTTTTCATTTTTTTCATAACGTCAGTAATATGGTCACAATGTTAAAATTATATTTTTTTCCGTTGAATTACGTTGTAACCTGACGTGACGTCCATTTCAAAATGGTGGCGCCTATATAAGCGTCATTTGTGTTCGTCTCACAATTAGCGTGAAATGTACTTGCTTTTTTTGGTAATTATAAAAAAAATGATTATTCTTATTTGATTACTGGTCAAAAGCTAAATATTATCATTCAAAAGAAAATGAGAACAAAGTTGGTGTCAAAAAGGCAATTTAACTAGCAAACCACTATTTAAAATAATAAAAAAACATTTGAAATAAATATACCAGTAATCGCTTTATGACTTCTAAAACACAAAGATTTATATAATTACTATGATATACTGTCGTATTTTATATCATTTTAAGAGAAAAGGAGCAATGAAGTGATTTGAGTAGATAGCTTTTCAATCAAGCGCGTATCTTGAATACCGCAACGCGTCGTAATTCTGTAGTTGTCTCAATTTTGTGCATTCATAGATATCAAGTCTATTCAAAAATATACTTATGGACAATGAAAACGCACGGTTGGGATAATTGCATTTTAACAAGGAAAATTTATTTCTTTTAAATATTCTTTTCACAGTTTCATAAAACCGAATGCATTTCGGTCATTTAGATACCAAAGTTATGAAAAATGATATCATTTTAATAAAGTTATTGCATGATAAAGACAGTACCCGAAAAAACAAAAGTAAACACTTTTGGCTCATTGTGATAAGATCACAACAGAAAACAGATTTAATCAATTCATGGTTACTTTGTGAAATGAAATTATTTATTATTTTAAACCGTTAATTATAAACTTGTTTTTCACATCTTTCTAGAAATGTTAGACACAAATGAGCAATTAAATTTTTATGAAAATGAATATTAAACTATGCCAATGGTCAGTTTGAGAAATCGTCAAAGCTCACATTGAAATTGCACTTTTCCTCAATTAAAGGTGCTTAATTTCAAACACTACTGAAGATTTGCTAGCAAATTGTGTGCAATGGTTCTACAAAGAATTAACCGCTGGGCAGATTTAAGACAGATTTAGTCTGGTCTATCTTACAATCAAATTTTGTATTATCAAAGCGCCAACCGTTTTGTTGTCCATCGGTCTACAATTTCTCGGCTTCCCCAGCGTTTTCACGCTACACTACAGGCCGAATGGCGCCAGATTCCACAGGCGACTATCCGCACCGTAAGGTCTATGAGGCGATGTACATCTGTAAGAGACCCTGATGGAGGATATTGTCGTTTCTAAAGATCCCGTCGGTGACATTACGAATAGACATTTATGAGTGTCTTTGTTTAGGATTTTCATTTTGGTTTTTGCCTTTGTTAAGTTTGCATTACTGTGATGAAAAAGTGTGAGTTTGGGATTTTCACCTTAGGTTCTTCGATTTACTGGTGTACATTTGATTTTAAACATTTTGAATTATTTTCAGTTGTTTAAGTTGTTTTTTGTATTGAAGTTATGATACATATCTAACGACGTCGTTAGTGTTTTGTTTTCTTGTAATAAAATGCATATAGTGCGGGCGTGCGTTTTCATTGTCCTTAAGTATAATTAAATTGATCAGGTTCGATGGGATACAAAAATATGTTACCCTTCTTTATTCGGGTGCGATGTTCGTGCGCTAAAACTTTCCGTAGGTTTCCCATTTCACACGAAATCGCCAACAAATACTACATTATCATGCAAATCAGACAAGATATATATAGAAAGGAGAACTGATTCGATTTTCACTATACGTTCAGCATTGGTTTGCTTGTTACCACAGTATCTATTTTAACTAACTCCCCCGCTAATGAGAGAACACAGACTTGCGTTGGAGGAAAATGCAAATTATAATAATATAATATCATGCTTTCTAGTTTGAGCAATTAAACATAGGCCTATACACTTTAAGCTTATAAATACAGATTTAATTTTCCGTCTCACAAATTCAACAAAATGTTCAGAAAAACCGGCAGTGATTTGAATTTATTAAGAATAAGGTCAATAAGTGTGTTTTTTTTGTAGACTTAAAGTGTTACATATTTAATTAAAAGGGAGGGGAGATCGGGTCAAAGAGAAACACCCAGTGACGTCCTCAATAATTTAAGTCTACCTAAAATTTGAAAATATTCAGTATAAAAAACAATAGCATAATTTTCGCGGGAGAAAAATACCGTGTATTGTTTATTTTGTAGAGCAAAGAGTTTGATTTAAAGGAGTCTTGAATAACGAGATAATATATAGGGAAATCATTTCTGAGAAAAATATAAAATAGTTTAAAAACATAAAATCAAAATGAAGGCCATAGATCTATGTAATTAAAAGAAGAAGTATTGTACCTTTATAGATTCATGTCATAAAGTGTGTTTAAAATTAATTAAATGTTATCAAAAGTTTTATTATTAATAGATTTATATGAATTGAAGGTGTAATTTTAACAGTTAAGTTGCGAAATATGGGTATACAAAAATTATTTTAAATGCCACCAAGACAAATTTATCTCGACGCTTAAAAATATCTGTATTAGGTTATAATGCCTAACCACCCTCTGTCAATGCCGCTACTGGAATCATCCATAAAAAGTGCGAGGAATTTTTGTTACGTCATATATTTTGTAAAATGTTGGTGACATAATAAAGTTTATTTCGTCAGGAATCCATTTTCAAGAGTTATAAACATTGTGATGTTAACATGTAAAATTGTTGGGCCGTTCTTGGATTTGGAGCATACTGAATTATGATGTGTTTCATTTACATATTTCATTTGCTAACCCAGATGACTCCACAAATTTAACTATCTTTTAATAATGAGACGGATAAACAGTTTATTTAAAAAAATCTGGATCATCATAAGTGTAGGAGTCATGCCATTCAGGAGTTTTAAAGTAAAAAATGGGATCTACGGAACTGGATGGAATGTGGTAATGAAGGAATCTTCAGTATGCGAATTTGTCGTGACGTTTAAAGAGATATATTTCGAAATTCATAGGGATTCTATTCAGCTTAAAAGTAAGTGCAATTTCTAGATTTTTAAGTCTTCCATCATGCATTGCAACTAAACTGTTACATCTTGTAGATCATGCTTTGTAAAATAATCATGAAACAACCCCGACAACCTCATGTATATTTTAGAAACATGACACGTGCTTTCTCCCGTTCATCTTCAAATGAAAAGTACTTCGGCAATGGCTACGGAAAATAAACAACAGAGATTTACCATAGAGTAATTAAAATTTGCTTTCACAAGAAAAGTAGACATTTTAGAGAAAAATACTGAAAAATCTCGAGGGTGACTCTTTTTTAGTTTACAAAAATAGTTTAATTTTTATTCAACCTCATTTTGTAAATTCACACCAGGCAAAAGGTTATTTCCATTTTTAATGGGACAGACTATAGTTTAAAGGATTCAGTGTTTAATACTGCCTTAGAAGTTCATTATTATTCGCCTAGGATAGATAGCGATGTATAAATTGATATTAATTCGTAATGTCTATATCATTTAATTTAATTTAATTAAAACACTATCATTTTATCTTTGACTGGAAGATCATTGACAACAGCAGTCTAATAATAAAAGATTTCAAGGAGAATAAAAATCAAAATATATATCTAGTGATTGACATTTTCGGTAAAAATTAGTGTAACAATCCATTTCTAAAGAACAAACAATGTATTCATTATATTGATCATATAACCTTTTGCGATTTCGTAAAATTGGAGCATCTTCATGTATATTTTATGCATGATGTCATATGCGTTATACAAACCTTTAAGAGGTTCAGTTGAAAACGCTATATGACAAATATAGAGGCATATCATTTATCCCCCAAAAGATAAGATGTGTTTTACTATACTTTATACTACATGAGGCAAGTGACTCCCGGGGCAGGGACAATTTTGACCTGAGGACCATAAATAATAAACTTTTGTAGAAAAATACAAATTGATGCTACAAGCCAAATATCTAAGCTTTGATCTTTGCAGTTGCACACAATAATAAGGTATATATATTCTTTAGGTAATGTAACATGTTGAATATCTTAGCTATTGTCATTGTAATTTCACAAAATAAGAATTTAATGTGTTTTCCTTCGCATAAATATATAAACTAATTGCCACAGGATGAGCCATTAATTTAATACCAGTTGTTTTGTGGTCCACAAAGTAAAGTTACATGCCAAATATCAAAGCTCTTGGCGTCGTAATTTCATACAATAAGTTTCAGATGTTTTTTTTCCTATATAAGTTTATTTAAATCAAGTAAACCCTTGGGAGGGGGTCAATATTGAACCATAGGGCAGGGTTCACATCAGTTGTGTTAAGGTCAATAAGCTTATGTTACAGTGCTAAATATCTAAGTATCTAAGCTCTAGCTCTAACTTATTATAAGTCATAATTCTGCCAAAAATTTTAATTTCTTCACTTTCGGTCTATTGGTTCAAAAGATACAGAGCAGACACGAAATTATAAATTTCATACACAATATTTACGTGTGACGCTCTGCAACTCGTCTCATTATGGTTAACATTTCTGCCAAATTGTTTTAATATCCTTCCATCGGTTCTGAAGATACAGACCGGACACGAAAACTGCTATCTTACGGACGGACGTTCAGGAGCCTAACATTATACGCCGAATTTGTTTTCAGGAGTATAAAAATAAAAAATCAAACCTTTTGATAAAATCAATCCGTTTTTTATCCTCTTTTGAATCAAAGGCATGAGTAGCAGCATCTTCGATATGTTCAAAGGTTGCATATGTGCATCCCAAATTGTTAAGCCATTTATTAAATACCTTGAAATACGCATAAAAGACCCAACCTTCTGTATGCTGATTCTTTGCTTCTAGCTCAGTTTCATTAACTGTATCATCAACGGTTCTAGCCATCTCCTGACAATTGCCTAAGAAAAATGTAACACATTTTGCAACATCTATTCATTACTGACATTATAAAAAGGATATGACAACTTCATGAAATACTCGAAGAATTTTCTATTATTTACCCCTTTTCGGATAAATAAAAGCTTTTTTCACAATTCTCCACAAAATAATTTGGCTGTGACTAAAAAAAGGATTGGAGCACCCCACTAAATACCGTATTCCGGTATATACCGGACAAGGCGCTTGAATGATAAAATGCTAAAATCTTGTCTTTTTACCCAACGGAATGAACTTTAACAGGTCTAATTCATCTTTTCACACCGAATCAAGTACGATAATCAAGGAAAAATGTAAAATTCGGCGAAAAAAACGATATTTGTCTATTTTGGGATCATGATTTCTGCAAGCGTCTAGAGGTACTGCTCCAATCCTGTATTGAGCTAAATCCAAATAATTTAATGGTAGGGAGAAACAAGAATGCATTTGTGAAAAAAATGCTATGCCACCGCATTAATATAACAGAATTGTTTTTGTTACTATACAATTGAACTTTGCCATAATGCAGAAGTGTCAAGTGAATTTGGGGGTCACGGTTATATTTCAGCATGTTAAATCATTCCCTGCGGTCTGGAGACCGCAGGGTATTGGTACGCGTTTAACTTTTGAGGCATGGAGGAGCACGTGACCTGTTTTCGGTACATGGAGGAGCATGTGATCTGTAAGCCGTATATGATAGGTTAATTGACCTTTCCGAAAACCCAGCTAAATACCGTTTGCCGGTACGTTACGGATTTACATGTAAGGAATTAGTCCGAATTACACCTAATTGAGAAACAAATCTATTACGTGATATTTTTAATTTTCTATAATTATTTTACCGTTTAAGGTGAAAAAACTTGAATGATGTGTTTGAAAATTATCAATCTTTCTTTAATATCCATCTCAAATTTTACAAACAATAAATTGTTTACACTGAAAATCTACAAAATTAAAATATTCGTAGTGGCATCTGCCATAATAAATAGAGATATTTTCTGCGTAAACTTGTGTGTTTACTTTATTTATTTTTTGCTCGGAATTATTCATAAAATGGTAGGCCTATTTAATCATTTTCTTAAAAAGAAATAATTGTTTTATGTTAGACCTTTTCCGGTCTTCAACGGTCACATGCAGTTTCCAAAGACCTTCTTCTATATTGTCCGATTATTGTCAACTATATTCCTGAAACAAACGTTTATTTATCCCCCCCCCCCCAAAATAATGTTGAAAATAGTTAAATGTAATATCTTTATATCATTAAAATGTTCACCGCAGGAAACCATTTTACTTGTTACACACATGTGCAGATGTGTCTAATAATAAGATACAAAGGCCATAGTGCAGTAATTGATTTAAAAATAAAATATGTTTTATTTAAAAAAATGAATTAACTGTATAACATAGCTGTATTAAACTTTGAAATGCAGGTACAGTAGCTTTTTCTTAACCCTTTACTTCATGAGACCTGTTTTGACGGCTTTTCGACCCCCACCTTTTTGAGGCCTCAAAAAATTTAAAAATTACCCTATTTAGGCCTCAAACACTGTTTTTCATTTGGGAAATGTTGCTAAAAAGGTGTCCTTTTTTTCGGCGCCGCTGAAAAGCCTTTGACTCTATCTCAATCCATTGAGAAGTTGCAGCACTTTGAAATCAATTTTGAGGAAAAAAGCTACGCAAAATAGTGATTTTGGGCAATTTTGAGATGTCCCCTCTCTGCCGTGGTAACAAGAAATTTAAGACTGAGCAAGTCGTTACAAAGGCAATGGTCCAGTCAACATTTGTGCCATTAGTTTGATTAGTATTGAAGCACTTTTCATAATTTCATAGCAGTTTGAACTTGTAACTTGAGGCTTTTAAATGAAAACGGTCATTTTTCACAATATGCTCACGAGGGAAAGGGTTAATTAAAAAAATTAACAAAACAACATTATTCACCAAAATTAGGTGAAAGGCCACATGTTAACATGGAAAAACTAGATTTTGGGTAATTTTAAGGTTTTTCATAATTTTTTGTTAACTCTTTACTTCATAGAGACCTGTTTTAACGACTTTTCGACCCCCCCTTTTTTAGGCCTCAAACAGTGAAAAAATATCCTATTTAGGTCTCAAACACTGTTTTTCATTTGGGAAATGTTGCTTAAATTAAGTGATGACTTTTTCGGCGCCGCCACTATCAATAAATACATCAGCGGGTTGCCAGAAGGGGGATGTACCCCCTTTTGATTGAGGGTATGAAGGGGACGGTAGTCCCCCTCATCGCGAAGAAAATTTTGGACTTGTGTGGGTATCAAATGACCCAAGGTCGATTGTAAGGTAATGTGTAACCAACGCTGAAAAGCTTTTAACTCTATCTGAATCCATTGAGAAGTTGCAGCACTTTAAAATCAATTTTGATGGAAAAAAAACAACGTAAAATAATAATTTTGGGCAATTTTGAGCATCTATTGAGAAAATCCGAGCGTTATAATTATGAAACATTAATATAAATAAAGTTTGAACTTTAAAAACTTCCCCAACGCCGAGGAAAAATGCCATGAATAAATGTTTTCTTTTTTATTAATATCGTCGGTGTGCTTCGAAAAGGCCCTATCTCAATTCTTGCGAAAATCGTTTTAGGTCATTTTCTTGACAAACAAACCGAGGCGCGCATTGTGCGAAAACACCCGTTTAGATAGCCAGTCGGAAAATGAATTTATTGCCATGTGAGAAAAAGACGTATAATTTTGGGATGAAAAATTTGTTCCGCGAAAATGCCCGATAATGTTTTGGAGTGAAATTTGAAAGTTAAAACGGAGGAAACGCGGGTTTTCTTATGAATTCAAAGATCAGGTATGCTTTTACTATTTGACAGTGGAAATAATGATGTGTTTCGTATAGTATGAAGTTATATACTAACTAAAACCATCAATACATTGGGCAATGGGAATTTTACATACAACCCATGTCGGCTAGGTGAAATGTTATGCTAAGAAAACTATTTTTAACTTGTTTTCGTAATGTTTAGATTTTATTTTCATTCTTTACACCAAAATGTACCAAACTGATAAATCTGAGCTGCATTATAGCTGTTTAAATAACTTTTATATGTAATAGGGCGTTTTTGCATGTTCATTTTTTGGTGAGATTTGTCTTATAAGGCATTTTCTTATATATTTTGTAAGACAATATTTATGTTCCTTATATTCATACATTACTTTTATTTATATTTTCAGCTTGTTTAAAGATTACAATCACATCCTAGACTTGTAGGAATTTATTTTCCCAGAGAAATAACATATAGTTTTCTTTAAAAAGATAATTTTTACATAAATAAATATACAACTACTAAATAAATAAATAGGTAAATAATTGTCTTAATTCCACATAGATATGGAAACATATATTTTTTAAGGATTCTCATTAAGATTATAATTAGAGTTATTAAAAGGCAAAGCACGTACTGATCATCATCCGACTTAACTGGGATGTTATGTAAGATGGTTGCTACGTAAATTTTATAATCATTAAATGTTTTCTACCATTTCACTTTATTACAGGTGTCTGATGACCACCCTCATGATTAGTGTTCAATATTGAATTATTGGACTATTTGATTTGTAACAACTGCAAAGTGATGTCAATAACATGTAATCTATTTACAAAAGATGAGTACAACTTCTTGCAGAAATCATATTTCTGAAAGACTTCAGCGATCTCGTGTGGCTTAACCGGTGGGTAGGGCTTGCGGTTTTATCTTAAGTGTCTGCTGGGCTTCAGTCTAAATGCGACAAAGGACTGTGACTACACTACTTTTTCTTCAAAGTCCAGTAAATGGCCAAGGTCGTCAATCTAGTGTAAACTCATTCGACAAAGAGAAACCGGAAAATAATGTGAACAATGCAAAAAGTATCATGGTTTTTGTTTAAACAATTTCCTGGAAAACATATAACCTGAAGACAATAAAGTAAATGAAATAATGTTGTTGTTACCAATACCAAAAATTAATACTTGGAAATTCTTAGTAAATACTTGCAATCTAATATAATGTCAGGATATCACAGAAGCTTATACAATAAGGCCATGGTCAGATGGAGATAGGCGCAGTTCATAGTCAAATTGAAGGGATACTTAGAATCACACTTTTTCTCTTGTTAACTATGTTTGTTTGATTGGGTTTTACGTTACAGCGACACAGTATAGGTCATATAATAATGGCAATGTCCCACCCAGCTTTACTGATGGAAGAAGACTTCAGTTGCCATTCCGTTCATTATTTTAGGCACGAACGGGCATCTAAGTAGAACCACAGACGTTCCTTAAGCTATCTGGATAGTTTGCTCACATGAAATAATCCAAAGTCTCTGTCAGGATTCGAACCCATAGTGGTGAGGGCAAGTGCTTTGAAGTCAACGGCCAGTGACGCTTGCTCGCCCGAGTTACCCATATGAGGTTCAATAAAAAAGGCATGATTTCTTGAAGAACTTTACGATTTGGCGATTGTATTAAAGCATTAGACATGGAAATACTTGTAGAACAATATGACTTGGTGGTTTTGATGTGACACTTTTAGTATTTGCTAAATACCTTTTTGTTTGTCATGAAGCAGCATATTAATAACATGAATGTTTATTATATAATAAATTATAGAGAGTAATAATTAGATAAATGAGAAATAGCCCATATTATGAAATGTTTTGTTTTCCATTGACCGTATATATATCTAGATTCATGCTTATTTTCACTAAAATTTCGAAATGTTCTTTTGAAATGTTAAATACTGTGAAGTAAACAACAAAAGAAGTACATGTAAAACAAAGTTCAAACAGCACTTTACATCCAGTTGAATGATCAAAAAGTGAACAAAATATGCAAAGATAACAGTCATGCAATAAACTTTTGTAATAAAAATTGTAAAACACGCAATAATCGACCAAAAACATATTATATTTTTTACTTAAATCATAATACTTTTCTTCAAATCTTTTTACTTTTATTAAATGTTTCGCTTATCTGAAGGCATGAAGCTCTTAGAACTTAAGAACTTGGTATTAGGATTGATGATTTTATTGGCATGGTTATTGTGCAGTATACAATGTACTTCATTGGTGAAGCCAATTTGACTACATGTTAAAAAAGGTTTAATATTTTGGAATGTGTGTAAGTTTTTTGTTTCATTTTTCAATATTTATTGTTGTCTTAAAACATAATAATTATTTATTCCCCAAATCCTTGAATTATTTTAGGAACATACATGAATCGTACTGGTAATATGTGTCTCTTTATGCCATTATGAACTTAACAAGAGTATGTTAACGTGTGCGAAAGGGCCTTATAAGGCCATTTGAGACACCTATTTGGCCATTTTTGCCGTGTGAAAAGGACTTATGAGCATTAATTATGAAACAGCAGGGCTTATCATAACTGAATTAAATGTACCTAAAATGAATTTAAATGTTCATTATTATCCGTTAATTTCATTTCTGTGGATGTTTCCCTACCAAAACTAGACGGTTTTTTCCATCTCCTGAAAAGTAGCAATTTTGCGTATAAGGCCTTTTCTAAGCACACCGACGATATGCTTTGTCTTCAGAGACCGTTTCGTTAAGCGACCAATTTTGTTTTTTCTCTTACGCAGTCGCTTTATACACGTTGACTGTATTTCCTTAATATCTCTGAACATCATGACCTTTAGACTTACTCCAAGCTGTTGAATAATTTACATAAAAATTGCATAACATGTATTAGACATTCCAATGTAAGTTGTTTCCTTTCACACAATTTTTATAAAGTTTTTACATTATGTACATAATGAAAATCAATGACTCCGGGGTGTGGCCAATTTTGACCCTAAGCTTAAATCTTGGTAGAGGTCCACTTCACAATGTTTTATGACAATAATCTAGTCTTTGTCCATTCTGAGAATTTTTTTTAAAATTTTTATTATATACATATTAAACCTATGACTCCAGGGCTGGGTCAATTTTGACACGAGGGGCAAAATTTGAACAACTTTAGTAGAGCTTTTTGAGAATGATTTTATTTTCAAATATCAAAACTCTAAGCCTTGTACCGTCAGATAAAATTATTTTTCAAGTTTTAACTACATGTATATGTACATAATGAAAATTAATGACCCTCCAGGGTGAGGCCAGGGCTATAATATGGACAACCTTGGTAGAAGTCCACTACACAATGTTTCATGCCAAATATCTAATCTGTACCTTCAGACAAGAAAATATTTTACGTTTGTACTATATGTACATAGTGAAGATCAATGACCCCCGAGGCGGGATCAATTTTGACCCTAGGGCTATAATTTGAACAACTTTAGTAGAGGTCCACCAGACAATGCCTTATGCAAAATATCTAAGCCCTAGGCCGTGTTGGTCTTTAGAAGATGTTTTAACTTACTTTATTCTTTTCATTCCTTTTGGTTGCCATGGCAACCAGATTACCAGATTTCTGCATGGAATCAAATTCTTTGAACAATTTTGGAAGCCGTTTACCCAAGGAACAGTCCTGCCAAGTTTGGTTGAAATTGGACTAGTGGGTTTTCACAAGAACTTTTAAGTTCACTATATATTCTATAATTCACACACACACACACACACACACGCACGCACGCACGCACGCACGCACGCACGCACGCACGCACACACACACACACACACACACACACGAACACACCAACGCACACACGCACAAACACACACGCGCGCGCGTGCGCACGCACGCACGTACATGTGAATCGCTATATGCCATCGCAGATGCTACGTTGGCATTAAAAGCTAGATTAAATTGTTCTATTTAAATAGTATTATATAGATCACTAAAGCATATAAATAGGTCAAGGCGAATTTTAAAATAAACTAACTAAAGACTTACTAAGTAATTCCAATGCAAAAAATTTCCAGCGTGTTGCAGGAAACGATCTTGATAACTGTAAGAAAACTTTTGTCCAGTCAATTTGAAATTCAGGAGGTGTACCTGAAAATTAAAAATAGACTGAATAAGATTTAAAGTAAGTTTCATAACAGTCACATCTTATTATTTGAAACGTTAAACAGACAATTTTCGATAAAGTTCAAAAGCTATGATGGATTTTCACTTTGGTTTTGTCACTTATTTAATCATTATGAAGTGTACGTATACTGAAATTAATCTATTTCTTCTGATGCTTTGTGTTTCAGTAACGAGTTTTATTGTATTCCTCAAATAGCTTTCAGTCATTATGATATTAAACATTGTCGTTTAAATAGACGACTGCTCCCGAAGCGGTCCCAGTAAAGGAATCATTACTTTTGACTCATATTGACGGCATAGTAATTAGTAACATTAACAAGATTGTTACTAAAGTAAAGAAACACTTTCTTATAAGCCAAATATGCCCAAATTTCAAAACGCATTCACAAATCAACGAAAGAGATATGACCATATACAAACATCGATATCTATTTCATAAGCCTGTATCACATTGACATCTTTAACTGACGACCTGGCATTTGAGCATGACAGGTTATAAATGTCCCACAAATTTATTAATGCCTGCTTATTTTTCATTCAATCAATGAATGGTGGAACTGATGACATGACTTGAACATCAAAGTGCTTTTTGGAAATACTGCCTATAAAGTCAAGATGTGATCTTCAGCTTTAAGCTACTTACATGTTGTCTGACATCGAATATGGTTTAAAAGTGCTACAAATTTAAGGCAAAATATTTTAAAATCTGTTACAGAATGGACATGTTAACATTCAAAATGGAACGACAGAAAGAACTGATATACCGGATACGGCTATAAATGCGCTTTCTAAAATTATATATTCAAGCCGTAGTGTGATCTTAACCCTGATCTTTGCAAACCATCGGCTTAATATGCCAAAAAAAACAGTCTTACCGGACACGAATCACTACATTTTTATATAAAGAATGAGGCATCGACCCTTGAGCTACAATCCACATATTTATGCAAAAATCATAATCATTTTATGTCGCATTAAGCATGAATTATTATTTATTCTAAAATAAAGATCTGTGTATACAGCAAAATGATTGATAAAATTGTTGTTTCTTAAACCCTTAAAGATATCTCTATCCCTGAGAGATAATGATTGGTCCTCTGTTCCGTGACATAGCTGGTTTTTTGGTCGTTTGCTTTCTGAGCCCTCTGCTCCATGAAGAACAACTGAAATCAAAAAGTATATTTCTCACTGGAATCATATAAAACAAACTTTATGTAACCAGTCCTTATAAAATATAAATAAGATATGCCCTGTTTATAATGATTACTGTTCTTGTGTGTTTACTGTATGAATTAAAATAGAGCGTGTATTAAATGGCACTTCCCTGTTGATATTTTGATTTTCATAAAAATAAATTGATGAAATTGATGATCATAAAAGTAAACAAGTTAAACAAGCGTTCTGGAAACACCAGGGTAGCAATTAACAACAACAATCAACATAAAATATTCTGCCGTTAGCTCCCGTCTGATGGGGAACACAAATCCTTACACAGAACTAGAAATAAAACATTTACAAATTGTATGCATGTTCATAATTTTATAATATTATTATCTTAAATAACGTTTCAATTATTGCCACTATTGTTGAGTCTTTTGTAGATTGTGATGCATGTACTAAGTCTCAAATGGGCGAAACAGCTTTAAATTAAAAGCTTAACACCAGTAGTCGTTTGACTTAGATGTAAAGATATGTAAACCGGACCGAAGAGCACAGTTCGTTTTTATTATACAGACTTATGAAGTTTTTTGACGTCCCGAGACTGGGAATAATATTCGAGATTAATGTTCCATTTGACGTAGGTCAAATAATTATAATAATTGTGGAAAATGACCCCAAATTATATAGCGTTGCAACGCTTTTTACTCAAAACAAAAAAGGACAACAATACGATTTTTTTTATTTATTTCTAATTATATTTCTGAATTTAATTTTTGCTTTGATTCGATAACACATTTATCCGTGAAAATTATATTTAATAATTTCACAGTGAAAATAATTAAAATATAATTTCACACTTTTCAATGAAGGCTTTCTGGATAAGTAAATAACCCAGGGTTCGTAAGACAGCCTTTCAAAAGATGCCATGTTTTCAAAATTCCTAGTCGCTGCTTGAATGTATACACATATGTCAACAATTAATTTTGTCTGTAACAATCCACAAATATGTTTTCTTCCTTATTATAGACGTAAAATTATTAAATCTAAATGAAATCCCTTCGACTCAAACGCATTTCATTCTTTCCTCGCTTAAAATAAACATTTCTTAAAAATTACGTCGTGATAGAGACTAATATAAATACAAATCATCCGCTTTATTAGTGTATTATATAGCAGAATTATGATCGGGCTGGTGTAACTGTTTCATGTTTTTAAAATGTTCGTTATAATGATTAAAAGTAGCGATCATTTTAAGTTTTTTTTTATAAACAAATATCATCATCGCCAATTAACGTTGATTTTCGAACTTATTTTCTGCTCAAGACTTCTTGTATGTATTAGAAATTCGTCTAAAATTGAGGCTACAAGTGGGTAAACAGATTTTGATAATAATAAACTCTTTATTTAACGAAGGTAACTTATTAAGACAATACATCAAAGCATTAGATACAACACATATAATGCAAAATCTTATTTTCAACAAGGCCTTCAATAAAACATAAACATAACAACGGACATATTCAAGCAATTGTAAAGATTACAACATTCAGTAAATCTTAATCAACAAAGAAGACAGACATAATATTATGTTATAGTATAGGTAAATTTTTCTATAATTCAATCTCTAGATAATAATAAATGTTTGAAATGTGATTTAATATAATTTAAGACTTGATAATATTTCTATTTTTTTAAGGAATAGTGTTCCATAAAACTCCATACTAGAATAATAAAAAAAGTACGTTTCAAATAATTTGTTTTTAGGTCGTTTTATGCATAATATCTTTTTATGTGTTGATCTTTAGTAAAGTAAGTTTTTATTTTTGAGATAACGGAATTAGATTAGAAATATATGCTGGCGTTAATTCATTCATGCTTTTATATACCATAATTCCAGAAAAGTATTTACATCTAGTAGATGGAAAAGATAACCATTTCATATTTTGAAACATATCAAGAGAATTTGTTTTTACGGGTTTATTTAAAATATTCTAGCGGTTCTTTTTTGTAATTTTTTATTAATCTATTTTAGATCTGATTTGTTACATTGGGACCAAATAATACATCCATAATCAAAAGTAGGGGCAATGTAAGCGTTATAAAATAATTGTTTCATTTCAGGTGTAAAGAAATATTTGAATTCTTTTCAGCAGAGATATTTTAGAAGCAAGCTTAGAACATGTTTTGTCAGTATGTGTTTTCCAAGATAGACAGTTATCAATATGCAATCCAAGTAGCTTTTGACAATGAAAGCATTATTTATTACTCGAATTCTCAATATGCAGAGAAAGATTGCCTATGTTATTTATTTTACATTTTGATCCAATTATCATGCACGTGGTCTTTTCTGGATTTATGGCCATATTATTGAGAGTGTGCACCATTCCTGTATTTTTAGTAAGTCTAGTTGCAACTCAGACTGTATATTACTCAAACTTTGGGGTCACTATGTTGTAATGTTGATCGTCTGCATACATATCAATGTCTGAATTCGTAGTGACTGATATATCATTTACATATAAAAGAAAACAGTATAGGCCTAAGATTGAGCCCTGTGGCACGCCCTAATATAACCCGGTAAGGCTTTCAGATTTATCATTGGGTTGACTTTTTACAATTTGCTCTCGGTTAGAGAGATAAATGACTGGAAAAATTGACAGAGTTTTTCAGAAAAATGATAAAGTTTTAAAATTTATGAATCAGTAATATTATGGGTAACCTAAATCAAAGGCTTTTTTAAAAAAATCTAAAAATACAGCAACCTATTATATTTCCCTCATCAATATTTCGTAAGCCAAGCATCTATAAGGCGGATCAAAGCCGTTTGGCAAAGAATGATGTCTCCGGAAACCTGACCTGGTGTTTCATTAATGATAAATTGGTAATAACATTGAGGATAATTATTTAGCTGATTTGCAACATGCCTTTCAAGTATTTTTGAAATGGTTGGGAGAATAGATATTGGGCCCTATAAATTATTGGGGTTTGACTTATCTCCCCCTTTCGTGTAAAGGTATAACTACGTGCTAGTTTTCAGTTTATCTGGGAATATACCTAGTGAAAATACTCTTAAATTAATAATTGAAGTTATTGCTCTCGTTATAGAGTCTTTTAAAACATAGTTTTAACATATAAGGACAAATTCCATCAAATGGCCCACCCGAAGATTTATTTTTTATCAAAGGTTGTCCATAATATTTGCTTACTTTCAAATTGTGGTTATGAATCAAATTCGTCAAATTGATTTATATTCAAGTAAATATTAAGCGAAAGTTTCATTCAAAACTTTTTTAAGCAATAAAATAAATAAAAAAAAATCGCCATTCGTGAAAATACTTTTTTAAAGCCTCCCTTTAATTTGAAATAAAATTTTCCCCCATTCTTTTACAACCACAAAACAAATTTAAAATAATTCCCCTTTTTTCTATATCCACCGGGGGGGGGTTTTTGCATATTTCTAACTTGAGTTATTGTCCATTCTGCATGCATGATGGAATTTCAACATGATAACCATATATAAGAACAATGTTGTTGTGCGCGAGACGCATTTGCACAACCTTCAATTTTCAATGCCATACTAGTAGAATCAAAATTCAAATTCTGTTTATGGGGCTTTTATCTATATTATTCGCTTGAAATTGATTGTCGAAATACTTGGGGTATGTCTTCACAGTTTGCCAAAAGTCAACATTTAATTATTTGGGTGTGAAGTCCAAATCTTGTTTGTCAATAATTTGGTGTCATTAATTTTGATGGATAAGTTTAATTCATTTGGCAAATGTCTTTTTCTTAAGATCAATGGGTGTTTATGACTACAACTTTTGAGGCCCAATGTAGGACTTTCTTATCGGCCATGTAAGACTCATATATCATATTCAAGGTCAATGTTATTAAATTTGGGGTAAAAAAGTCAGATTTTTTTGTTTGGTCCCTTATTACTTCTGGCCATTACTTGATTGACTTTCAGTTTAATTTGGCATATGTGTTTATTTCCCAGTCAAGACGATGTGACATGCAAAATAGATAATGTAGATAGTACCAACCAAAAAAAATACATGTTTATCAATCTTAAACACCAAAAATAATGTCGGGATATGCGGAAAAGCGTTCAAATTTTTTTTAAGTTTAACTACAAACGATAGTCATACTTGACATGATAAAAGAAACAAATAAAGATCATATATACGACAAAGCATCGCAATATTTGCTATTTTTTAACTGTACGTACAGTCAAACAGAGCTTTTATGAATCAAAGCCGTGGCAAAAACAGTAGCATATAAACGGAATAATAATTTTAAATATAGAGCAATGCAAGTAAAAACATACGGAAATAACTTTTATGTGGAAAATATAATTATGCTAAAATATCTGTTTTGGATTAATTGAAATAATTTTCAAAATAAATATTCCTCTGCGAAGAAGCATTATTTAAAATCATTAGCATTTAAAGAATAGAATTTTCTGACCTAGTTCATCGATGTTCAGGTTAGCAATATAAACTGCATTATTGTCATGTAAAATGTGTTTGATATTGATATATGACTGTGATTCACTTTCCTTCATTTACAAAAAAGTGTGATTGCAATAAATGTGTCAAAGCATTTAAAACGAATAACTAAAAAGAAGTGTTAATTGTGTAGAAGTGTGGTCTGAGGTAAATCCGGCGACCAAATTACTTCCCATTACTTCATGTTATATTTATGTAAACAATAGGCCAATACTTTCGGAGATTGGCTACATAACACAAAGTGCAAACAACAAAATAATTAAAAGAGAGCACTCTATTCGGGCTTTTAGATAAAGCAGTCATAGTTCGCGATCCTTACATTGGGTTTTAAAGACATTTTTACGGGCGGTACGATTTACTAGATACTACTAATTTAAAATTTGTATAAACTACTATTCATCGAATACAAATAATTGAGTGACTAAATACCCCTTTACTTTTTTAATTTTAAAAATATTGAAATAGTGTTTTTTTTTTTTTTAATTTAATATTTT